TGGCCAAGCGAAGATGCCTGGGCGCTAGAAGGCATCTCCTCCACCCGGAAGTGCATGCCTGGAGATCATTGGATCTTGACCGTCTTCACACACATCCTGTAGATTTCTGTCCGTTATATTTTATCTGCACAATCGGAATGAATCTCAGGAACCAAAACGCTTTTTCTGTGCAGCCTTGAGCAGGAACTGTGAACAGTGTTATAATTAATTGTTATTGCTTTTCTTCACTTCCCCCACTGCCCTGCTCACAGCTGTGGAGAATATTCTTATGTTATAAATGGTCCACGTCCCCATTGATAAAAAGAGGCCGATGTATATGTGTAGCCTCTCTGTGACTTTGCTTTTTACGTCCTCAAAGCTCTTAAACCTAGCTCAAGGTTGTCCTCTGAACAACCAGATGTTTAACTGCAAGATAAATAGGTACCGCTCCGGCGGGAAGGTAAAACGGCGTTTCCGTGCGCTGCTCTGGTTCGCCAGAAGCGGCTTAGTCATGCTGTACGCCAGCTCCCTCGGCCTATAAAGCGAGATGAGCGCTGCAACTCCAGAGTCGGCCACGACTGGACCTAATGGTCAGGGGTCCCGTTACATTTTTAATCACAGTCAGCCCGTCATTTGGAAAATGAGATTTTCCAAATAGCAACCCTACATTCTGTTTTGGCGACTAACCTTGGTTCAAGGAGCCATTTGGCACCTGGGCACGAGAGAGCCCTCCCCTCCCGTGGTTTCAGGTGTTCAGAAAAGCATGGTTCCCTCTGAGCACAGCCAGCGCACTCCCAAACGGCAATGTGAAGATCCATCACATGTGACTTCAGCCGGGCGAGACAGGAGTGCGAAACTCCAGTATTCTCCAAGAGCCTGGGCAGTTGTAAACATCATTTTTTCCACTGGACTGCTAAACAGGCTTGCTTTGTCTCTGCCACTTTGACCCTCCGCTCACCTCCTAGCAGAGAAATAACCCAATTGCAGGATGTTTTTGTGTTAGCATGGGTCTTTTGAGGTCCTCTAGTCTCCTGCTCTGAATTCCTGCAGCCAGAGTGTCCACAACAGGAGGGGGCTACCAGCTTCTGCTTTGAAGATTTCTGGCGAAACAGATCACCTCTCAAGGGAGCCAGATCCAGTGTCAAATCTGCTCTTTACTGTTAAGACATCACCCCCGATGTTTAGCCGAAATCTGCCCCTCTGAACATGGTGGCTCTGTTCAGCTCACCGCGGAAGCAGATCCACTCTCCAGGTGTGCCACACTGGTAGGTGTGGCAGGAAGATTCAAGCACACGCAAATAAACATTTAAATATTTTAGTGTAGTATAGTATAGCATCAAGGTACAGTGTTACCTCTTGTTAAGAACTTAATCCGTTCTGGAGATCCGTTCTTAACCTGAGGTAACACTTTAGCTAATGGGGCCTCCCTCTGCCGCTGCGCAATTTCCGTTCTCATCCTGAGGTAAAGTTCTTAACCCGAGGTACTATTTCTGGGTTAGCAGAGTCCGTAATCTGAAGTGTCTGTAACCTGAAGCGTATGTAACCCAAGGTACCACTGTAATTTGTTTTATTTGCAGAATACGGATAGATACCTTTTCAAGACGAGAACAAGGGCATCAAGCGAAACAGAGGACAGCTGTTGTTTATAATTATATTTAGGGAATTATTCCTCTGCATTGTTCAAACTTTCCAGGTGTCCCACAATCATAAAGTAGTTGTGTTCTATGCTATAAATCAAGCGCTGATAGGAGTTTCTTCATTTTGTTTTCCAATGCATTTCTTACCGATAAAGAAATCTGGTGTGGCCCGAGCAAATTATTTGTTCCAAAAGTGTGACCCAAAGAAAAGTATTGGAGAAGCACTGAACATACCCAGAGGGGGAGGAGGCCTTCCAGACCAGTGCCAGAAATTCGCCAGGCACATTTTGAGACTGGTGCAGGTCTAATTGCGACCATGTAGGACGCAGGTGGCGCTGTGAACCTAGGGCTTGCCGATTAGAATGTCAGCGGTTCGAATCCCCGCGACAGGGTGAGCTCCTGTTGCTCTGTCCCTGCTCCTGCCAACCTAGTAGTTGAAAGCACGAAGTGCAAGTAGATAAATAGGTACCACTCTGGCGGGAAGGTCAACGACGTTTCCGTGCGCTGCTCTGGTTCGCCAGAAGCGGCTTAGTCCTGCTGGCCACATGACCCGGAAGCTGTACGCCAGCTCCCTTGGCCAGTAAAGCGAGATGAGCGCCGCAACCCCAGAGTCGTAGCCCGGTGATGTGCAGTGGTTAAGAGGCCAGGGTGACACAGGTTTGAAACATCCCTCAGCCTCTGGGTGATCTGCAGCCTGGCACACAGCTTGACCTACCCTACAGGGGTGTTGTGAGGGTAAAATTATAGGGGCAGGGAGCAGCTATGTACCCACCCTAAGCCCGGGCGGAAGACGGTGACCAAACGCACACTGAGAAGGTGGCCAAGGCAACCCCTTGGCTTACTAAACACTCCAGGGTTTGCTTCCGTTATCATAGGGCTTAGAAGTATGGGATGATTCTGCTCCAAAAGGCCGTTTGATCCATTTTTTATTTTTTATTTAAAGCAATGGCAACAAACAGCGTATCGAAGGAGCGTGGGATAAATACAAATGCCAGCGTTTTATCTACAGCTCCTGCAGCCTTGGGAAAAAATGCGGCTTGGGGGCGAAGTTGGAAATCTTAGCCACTTCAGACAGCTGTGGTGCAGAAAAACTTAACATTCCTTCTACGCTTCAGAAGATTCCCTTTGAAGCTTTATATGTTTCTCTCTCTCTCTCTCTCTTTCTCTCTATGTGTGTGTGTGTGTTTGTCTGGAGGGGACAAACATTTGTGTCCCCCAAACTTTCCCCTCACTTTCCTGGGTTAAAAACTGCAGAGATTCTCTTTTTATATATATATTTTTAATTAATTTTAACATATAAATTATAAACTGTACCACAAAACTTATCACTTATACAATCTTTTTAGACTTCCATCAGCACCTCTGATGATCCACCGTTTTAACCACTTCTTATGCATTTCTTAACTTTATATTGCCTTTACATCTCTTAACAAATCCTCCTCCCCCTTGTCCATTTTTTACAATACTTCTAATAATACTCCTCACAAAACTTCTTGCAACCCTACAAACGTCGTCTGTTCTTCACAAATACTTTTCAAATAGTCCGTAAATTTACTCCAGTCTTCCATGAATTTCTGGGCTCGCCGGTTTCGAATCCTTTCTGTTAGTTTATCTAATTCTGCATAGTCCATTAACTTCATCCTCCATTCTTCAATCGACGGTAACTCTTCTTGCTCTGCAGAGATTCTCAACTCTCTCAAGGCCCGATCCAGGCTTCACCGATCCAGGCAGCGCTTTTGAGCTCTTTTGGGTGGGGATTTGTTTCGTAAAAGTCAACAAGACTCTATTTGTATGGTCCCATTGAGATCCACCGCATAGCTCTGCGAGGCAGGCGCTGCAGAGAGATGTGGCGTGCAGCCTGCGTTAACCAGCATCTGGATTCGAACTTGGGTCTTGCTCGTTTCAGGTAGACACTATCCTGGGTGTGGGGGGTGGCCTTTAGGGGGCGGGGGTCCAGCTTTGTCCCCCACCCCGCCCTAAGGCAGTTTGAAAGCTGTACAGGTCTTCTCATTTTGGATGCTGCAACCTGGAGAAACCCAGCCAGATGGGCAGGGTATAAATAATAAATTATTATTATTATTATTATTATTATTATTATTATTATTATTATTATTAACCTTAATATGCCCATAGTTCTAGCATGAAACTGCAGGCCACTAAAGGGTGGTTCTCACCAGATGTTGCTGGACCACAGTTCCCATCCCAACATCTGGAGAACATCGCGTTGACCAGGTGAGAGATGCACAATTGCATCTAAGGTGCCTGTTGCTGCTGCTGCTGCTGTTTTTGTTTTTATAAAAAAAATCGGGGCTTCCTGCATCTAATTCTGAAGCCCCAACAAAAATATATTTTAGGCCGTTAGATTTAATGTGCTACATTTATGTCCCACGCTTCTCTGCTCTGGGAGGGAAACAGCTCTGAACTTGGCCTCAGAAGTGAGTTTTCCACACCCTCTGGGCATACGAGAGCCAGCGGTTAGTGTGTTGGGCTAGGACAGGCTTCCTCAACCTCAGCCCTCCAGATGTTTTTGGCCTACAATTCCCATGATCCCTAGCTAGCAGGACCAGTGGCCAGGGATGATGGGAATTGTAGTCCCAAAACATCTGGAGGGCCGAGGTTGAGGAAGCCTGGGCTAGGACCTCAGAGACCAGGGTTCGAATCCCCACTCGGCTGTGAATCTTGCTGGGTGTGGGGCCCAGCCCCTCTCATCTTAGCCTACCTCACAGGGCTGTTGTTGCGAGGGTAAAATGGGGAGTAGAGGGAAACGACGTAAAAAACAATGAAAGAGTCCGACGGCATCTTAAAATAGGAGCAAAATTGTTATAGCGCAAGTTTCGCATGGCACGACTATGTAGGCCACAAAAGCGGGAGTAGGGGGACAATGAACTCTCAAGGTGCCATGACGCTCCTTTGTGTGGTGTTCGGTGGTTTTCACCTCTGCAAAAAGGCCCGCGAGAGTGTGCCTGGGCATGCGCAGAGGGTAGCCCCATCCCCTCTGACCAACCGGGGCTGAGGGCGCCCCTTCCGCGAGTGAGAGCTGTTCGACCGCGGACCTGACTCCCAGGAGACGTGGCGAGACTTCTCCTTCCTTGGATGCTTTTAAGAAGAGGTCCACCTGCCGTGTTGAGAATTCTGCATTGCAGGGGGTTGGACTAGATGACCTGACGGGGTCCCCTTCCAACTCGGCGATTCTGGGAGACCTGCCCGTGTGGGTTTCTTTTGCTTTCGCCCCCCCCCCTCCCCGGAAATGCACATTTGCAAGCAACTTTTTAAAAGTCTCCTATGGAAAAACAGAGTGCTGTGAAAAGGCCTCTCTCTCTCTCTCCTCTCGCTGTGCCCCCCCTTTCATTCCTCCTCTCTGGGCTCCTCCCCATTCCCTTCTTCGGTGGGGCCCCCCCTCCAGCCCCTCCCACCGCCCAGAGCCTGGCTGGGGAGTCACTCCTCCCTTCTCCTCCTCTCTCTCTCTCCCTCTCCAGCTCTCAAAACTTTCCAAGTTTGGATTAACTGAACGGGGGCTCCTCCAGGACGCAGGACATCTGAGCCCCCACTTTTCCTAAACGTGCCCCCCAACCCCCGGTTCTTTAAAGGAGGGGACAGACAACACCGCCATGCATTGATGGGGAGAATTGCTTTCTCGCAGGGTGAGTCCTGAATGTTTTTTTATTTACTTAAAACAATGTATCTCTGTATAGTTTAGCTTCTTCGCCTAATCCCAGATGCAAACTGGATGCTCAAATTGCCTGTTTTCGCCCTGTTTCTCCCAAATGGCTCTCAACTTTTACCCTCCCTCCTTCCCCCTCCATTTTTTTAAAAAACCCCACCTCTTCTCCACCATTGCTACCCTGAGGAAGGGGGTCTTTTGTTTTGCAAGTTGAGAGGAGCCAGAGGAGGAACAGATCTCTGCCCACCCCCTTACACCCCCATTTTCCAGGGTGGGGGCATTGGAGCGAGTTGGCTTTCTTTATTTTCTTTGCAGACCCATTTCCCACCCCCCTGCCCACCCCAGCCCTGCTCTCAAAAACAAATCAAAATTAAATTAACGGTGCGCGTTTTTGAATCCTCTGGCTTCCATTCGCTTTGCAAAAACCACTTGCGCCTTTTGTTCTGGTTCCTGGCATTTGGAGACAGCAGTTTGGATAAACTCCTACGCTTTGAGTGTTTTGAGGGTTTGAAACGCCTCGGGTTTTTTTTGGGGGGGGAGAACTGGGCACTTTTCCGCTTCCCTTTAGAAAGCTTCAGCCTGGAAATGTCCTCTGTGTGTCCCTACATGTATACATCAATTCATATGTGTGTGCATTTATATATATATATATATAAAACCTCTGGGTTCTACGCCAAGTGGAAGAAACCACTGAAACTAACCGTTCCTCCATTCTTGTCAATTTCAGTGGGTTTCTCTATTCAGCAGGCCGGGCTATAAGGCAGATATATCGCTTCTCCAATTTCTGTTCTCCTGGCTTTCGCTTCTTAACTTTCAAGCAAACAACTTGCGCTTTCCGCAAAGTTAACTATGGATTGTTTTTATGGGGGGGGGGGACTTTGGTGGGAGGGCGAGAGACTGAAGAAAAAGAGTCCCCCCCCTCCTCCTTTATCCTATTGCATGTAGAATCTGTTGTGCTTTAGGAGCGAGGTCAGGAAAGTTCTGAAAATAAACTTACTTAAAGAGGAATAATTTTCTGTAGGATTGCGGTTGGGGTGTGTGTTTTATTATGAGTGTGTGTTGAGGGGGATGTTTTTGGGTTTGCTTTTTTTAAAAACTCTGAGCAGCCGCACAATTGCTCTATAGAGATATTCTGTATATCCTTCCCTCTCCCGACTCCCAGTCTTTTGTCTGATGCACAACAAGGAGTGAATTTTAGGAGGCGAAATCCTCCCGAAGTTGTTGTTTTCTGAAGCCTGTTCAAAGCTGGATTCTGATCTCTCCTTCTCCTTTACCCCCACCCCCCACCCCCACCCAACACCACTTTAAAAATAAATAAAATAATCCAGCCGTTCATTACCTGATGTGTGTTGCTTACCAAATGAACAGAATAAACTCCTGAGCAGAACTTTGGCAAACGCATTTAAACGAGGGTTGTCTAGCGTAAAAGAGGGAATTCGGCAGAGTGGGTGAAATAAATTTCCAAGAATTTGCTATTTTTTTAAAGGGGGGGAGATGTTCACTTACCATTTTCAGCCTCCCTTCCCCCCACCTTGTCTCAACCCCCTCCTAGATCCTTAATGAACAAAGGATGGCCAGTGGGGAGGGGATAAATTGGGGGGGGGGGGGCGAACGCAGAAAGATAAACCATGTGATAGATTTAAAAACACTATAGAATTTAAACCAGTCTGATTGAAAGGGGAGGGGAAAGTTGCAAGCGCATTGTGTGTGTGTCCATTTTTCCAAGTTTGGGTCTTGCTGATTAGGAGCAAACGATTAGGGCTTAATAAGAAGAGATTTCTGCTCCTTTAGTACAGATTTTGGAGCCCCTTCTCCTCTGCAAAGACCCTGCAACAGCAAATATTTTAGCCCTGGCAAATGTGGACGGTGTTATTGTTGTAGGCTCTCTAACGGCCGTTTGGCCCTGTGAGGTGCGTGGGGGGGGGGTTTGCTGCTGTCTGTCAGAGCAACATCTGGGCGGGCGAATCAGATTTAGTGAAATGTGGTGCCAATTAAGAAGCCATCTTTTCTCCCCCTTTCCCTGCAAAAAAACCCAAAGCAAAACCCTACCTTTTATTTTATTTTTTTACACTTTCTCTCCCCCCCCCATGGTATGTTTTCCAACTATTCATCCGCAGGAGAAAACTCAGTTTAAAAACAACAGCGCGTTGCGTCCAGCCAACCAAGTGTTATTTGAAAGTAGACCCATTTGGAGCTTGTGGGATGAAGTTTGGTCTGCTCTCAGCAGCACCGACACGGGGCGCGATCTCTTGATTTCAATGGATGTGCTCTGAGCGCTGCTATTTATTTTTCTGATTTATCTGTTGCATTTACAGGTGAAACTTGAAAAATTAGAACATCGTGGGAAAGTTCCTTGATTTCAGTAATTCAACTTAAAAGGTGAAAGTAATATATGAGATCGACTCACGACATGCAAAGCAAAATAGGCTTCTACATCTCAGAGGTCCAGTCTTGCTCGATTTGCAATCCTTGTTTTGCTGATTTCCTTGAATATTCTAATTTTCTGAGATTGTTGGGGGTTTTCATCAGCTGTACGCCATGATCACCACAATGATAACAAATCAAGGCTTGACATAGCTCGCTTTGCATGTCACGAGTCGTATCTCAAATATTAGTTTCACCTTTGAAGTTGAATTAGTGAAAGAAAGGAACTTTCCCGTGATACTCTAATTTTTTGAGTTTCAGCTGTAGATCCCCCCCCCCGGGGGAGCTCAAAGTACTTTACATGGTCCCCCCTAACCCTAACCTAGATTTACATATCTTCCCCGGACCCCCTCGGTAATCTCTGCAAGGAGACCTCCATCAGACCTGAGAGCCAGTGTGGTGCAGTGGTTAAGAGCAGTGGACTCGTAATCTGGTGAACGGGGTTCGCTTCCCCGCTCCTCCACCTGCAGCTGCTGGCTGACCTTGGGCCAGTCACCCTTCTCTGAAGTCTCTCAGCCTCACTCACCTCACAGAGTGTTTGTGGTGGGGAAGGAAGTGAAAGGAGAATGTTAGCCGCTTTGAGACTCCTTTGGGTAGTGATAAAGCGGGATATCAAATCCAAACTCCTCTTCTTCTACCACCTGTGCGCTGTTCATACTTCAGGTTGTTTAAAGTTGGCTTACACCTAGAAATGAGAGAGTGTGTTTGTGTGAAGCTGTCTTCCGAGCTGGATTGTTCCAATATTGCCGGATATCTGGTTTTGGGGCAGAACGGGTCTTCGGTTTGTGTGAAGCAAAAATCGCACCTTATATACAAAGTCCTTTTGGATCCTGACTGATTGCAGGCTCACCTCTTGAGTTTTCAATTTCTTGAAACGAGAAAGCCAGCTTGGTGGAGTAGTTAGAGTGTTGGACCTGGGAGGTAAGGTAAAGGTAAAGGGACCCCTGACTGTTAGGTCCAGTCACGGACGACTCAGCTTCCGGGTCATGTGGCCAGCATGACTAAGCCGCTTCTGGCAAACCAGAGCAGCGCACAGAAACACCATTTACCTTCCCGCCGGAGTGGTACCTATTTATCTACTTGCACTTTGACGTGCTTTCGAACTGCTAGGTTGGCAGGAGCAGGGACCGAGCAACGGGAGCTCACCCTGTCGCGGGGATTCGAACCGCCACCCTTCTGATCAGCAAGTCCTAGGCTCTGTGGTTTAACCCACAGCGCCACCCGCATCCCTGGACCTGGGAGAGCAGGGTTCAAATCCCCACTCAGCCATGAAGTTCACTGGGTGACTTTGCAGTCTCAGTCACTGTATTTCTTGGCCTAACCTGCCTCGTAGGGTTGTTGTGAGGAAAGGGAGCTCCTTGGGGAGAGAGACAAATGTGGGATACAAATGCAGTATGAACGAGGCGTTGGCAACCCGATTTTGCAGCAGTGCCCTCCAGATGTTTTTGATCACAGCTGGCTCCGGCCCCAGCAAGGCTGTTGGCAGAAATCTGGCAGGTTTCATGGCAAATCAATTTCGAAACTTAAGTGGAGTTTCACAAGCAGCTTAGTGAGCTGGTACAGGAGGTTTTGGAAAGGGAAAAAGTTGTGTGTATGAAATTTTGTGTGTGTACATGTATGGACAGTTAATGTTTACCTGATCAGTTTACAAATGGGGCGCCTTATTGATCAGTCTTCCTCTTAAAAATATTTTAAATGCAAGTGTCATTATTATTATTATTATTTAAATTTATATACCGCCATTCACCCAACATCACGGAGCGGTTCACAACGTAATAATACAAAATGAGAACACAAAAATACATCATAAAATCGGAACAAAAATAAACTAATAACGGGGAGCCACTGCAGAAAAGGCCCTGTTCTCATGTTGCCCACTGAGTCCAGCATCCTGTTCTCACAGCCAGATACCCCAACAAGAAATCCTGCGAGCGGGACCTGGGCGTAATCACGAATCTAAGATGCGCACCTAAGATTCATCTGCGTACACTATTTCTTTCCCATTTAGCCCACCCGCAGACATATCATTCAGCGGTCTGTGAAGAGAACGTTCATCAGATGCAGAATTTTGTTGTTGTTGTTGCAATGGCTTGATATTTATAAATCCGGTGCTGTTCTGCGCTTGTGAGGAAACGGTTTGAGGGGGGGGGGAGAGGATGAGAGATTGTGGGAGGGTGTGGGCGGGGGAAACGGAATCTTTATATAAGAGTTAATTTAGTTTGTTCAAAATGTGTCAGCGTGATCTGAGCATTTGCCGCTTGCGCTCGTTTTCCTGCAAACCACCTTCAATCTATTCATTTTTTGAAAAACGCGTAGACAATCTCTCGCCCATTTGGAAAGAGAAAAATATGAAAGATGTGCATCCGTCTCCAGGGAGAAAGCTAGATATTTATTTTTCTCTCCCTCTTTTTCCTCTTTTTAAAAAAACCCAAAACAAAATCGCATGTAAGAGTTCTCAAACCCTGGAGAGCTGAAACACATCCCCCCCCCCCCGGATTAAAAATCAGAGCGGTGCTTTGCTTTTTGAGTCTGGAACATTCTGCATGCAGAACAGCT